TTCAAGAATAGGAATTTTCTAGATGTGTTTTATACCTTTTTCTTCTCTCATTTCCCTGGCTAGAACCTCTAGTCCAATGTTGAACTGAAGGAGCAAGAGCAGACGCCCCTGTCTCGCTCCTAATCTTGGGATAAAGCTTTCAGCCTTACACCACTACGATGTTAGCTGTGTGTTGTGGACGTCCCTCGTCAGGGTGAGTGAGCCAACATCTTATGTCTTGCCTCCCTGCACAAGTGCAGTGCCACTGCCTTCACCTAAGTCACACATGCCTCGTTTCTCCTGGAGGATGCAGAGAAGAGACCTTGAAGTGAAAAGAAGTACTCCTTCCCCTTCTGCTTGTTCTTCACCTGTCTCATACATGTCTCTAATCCAGAACAGACGGCATGGCTTTTTTCCTGTTTCTGCCTGTCAACTAGCCTCCCAGCCTCCAGTCTCCATGGTGGTCCACCCTCAACAACACCAATTGCATTTTTTCCATTCCTCAATGCTGTTAAGAAGGAAAATTAATTACGTCATTCTCACTTAAAACCTGCTACAGAATTCCCATTGCCTGTAAGATAGAGCACGCACCTTAGTCTGGACCCCAGCCTTGCCCCTCTAGCTGCCTCTTATGCTTACCTACAGGTACCAACCACAGTGGATGACCGCACGCCCCCAGAAGCAGCCGTTCTCCTCCATTTCCATGTCTTTGCATACACTGTTTCCTTCCAAAGTACAGTTTTATAGCTAATAAAATGAGGCTTAGATCCCCCTGTGTTGAAGGCTCTCTGAGGTACTCTCGTGGCTCCCACAGCACTCTCTTCAAACATCTGACAGCTCTTTGATTACTAGAATTCTGCAGACATACCGTGCCGACTAGGCTATGCAAGGGCCATTCAATGTTCATGACTGGCTATTAAGATCTAGATCCAAGTGCCAAACATCCTGTAGTCCTTAAGTATCTGGTGACTGGATTAGCACCAGGAAATGAAAAATAGGAGGATAGAAAGGTATTACTTTCATTATAAAAGGACATGAGTCAGTAACATTCCCTTAAGTCCTTAAAATAGAGCCTAAAGAATACTTCTTATAAATCTGTAAGTTCCAACTTACTCTATAAAATTCCTCAATAATTCACTTCTCAAAACTGTGCCAGAAATAGCTTCCAGAAAGAACATCAGTAACCTAAGAGAATACAGTAGTTAACAGGCCAAACTGAATTAAGATTATTTGATCCTGAGTTCACATTTCTTTGTAATCTCTATTTCTTTCAGTTCCAGGCCTACTTCTTCTGTCTGACACCTGTACCAACCTCAAATGACTTAACCATTCCACTCTAACATCAGGCTTCTAAGTTACATCAGACCAGCCTGCGGGCAGCCAAGGCTTACCTGAGCCGAGATGCCAATGAGCAGCAGCCACTCTTGGTTCTTGTCGGTGCGATAGTGAATCATCTGGTAACCTGCCAGGCTGGCGTGTCTGTCAAACATCTTCACGGGCTGGGAGTCACCCTCCACGCTCCAGTGGTAGACTGTGGTCTCAGTCACCAAGGAAACAGTGTTCACAGAAACCCATTTCCAGAATATCGCCTCTTCTGCCATAGTGTGAGCCTTCATTTTACTCTTCATCTCAATGTTAAAGATCTGAAGTGTCTTCCCAGCTAGAGAAAGATAAACTAAAAATCTGAAACACAAGTTCTTAATCTCTTAATTCTGAATCTTTTTATTATTACTTTAAGTTGTACTACTTAAAGCTAATCTGATGAACAGGGGAAAAGCCGCTTGAGCAGTAATTAACCACACTTCAACATCTACTTGTTGAGAAAAGCCTCGTATGCATCAGATGCTTCCTCAGCACAATGTAAAAATGTGTGAATATTTATAGAATTTATGAACAACAATCAGAAATTAGTTCTACTGAAGCAAGTCTCAA